CTACTGCTGGTTTCACCGTCATTCATCCACTTTGCATAAGTACTAACAACTGTAGATCGCTAACAACCCACAAGTCGTGCAGTTTCGGAATGGCCTTCGAGCCATTACAATCTGCCCTCTATCAAAGTCGCTTAGATCCGCAGCCTTTCCCATCGAACACAGAAGTAAGTGAAAGAATGATTCTTCAGACTCTCCAGCAGCAGTTAAATACCACGTCCATCTGATCACGTGTCTTCCACGTCATTCAGGTGAGTTCATTGCAAAATGTAGGGGTTGTCATAATGTTTTGACTCTTGAGTGTATGTCAACGTTTTAAAGTTTAAGCTATGTCAAGCGAACCGGCCCCCTTGCCTCTCAACCGAGTGGCAGACTGCGTTGCATTCGAGATATTCGGAATTGATTTGACTGGGACCCTTATTTCTAAAATTAGGGGGAAAGGTATGGATAGCATTGTTTACATGTGCAAGTTTTCATGCTATTCATCTAGAATTGGTTAATTCATTAACTGCTGACAGTTTTCTGTTAGCTCTTCGATGTTTCATAGCTAGACGCGGAAGATCTCGCACTCTTTATAGTGATAACGGAACGAATTTCAAAGGCGCTTCTAAAGATCTTTCAAAATCAGTTTGGGATAAAATTACGAGAGAAACCATGATAGCTAAAATACTTTGGAAATTTTTCCCACCCACTGCCACTTGGTGAGGAGGCTTGTGGGAAAGGCTGTTACGCATTGTGAAAGAATTGTTATGACGTACTTTGGGTAAATGTACGTTAACTTATGAAGAATTGAATACTATATTATGTGACTGTGATTCGATCATTAATTGTAGACCTTTAATGTATGTATCAGAAGATCCTGAAGAATTTATTCCTCTCACACCTGCAATGTTTCTTGGAGAAAGTCACTCTTACGGTGTCTCAGATATTGATGAATTAGATAGTCAAATATTAACAAAAAGAATAAAATATCGAAGAAAGCTTTTTAATAATTTGAGGTAACGGTTTAGAAAAGAGTATTTAAGTGAACGAATTCAAAAATTTATTGAAAAATCATTGCGTGAACCTGAAGTGGGAGAAATAGTTTGGATCGGAGATGACAATAAAAAACGTTTGTTTTGGCCGATGGCAAAAATTATCGGGCTGATCCCTGGTCGAGACGGTAAAATACGCACTGTGAAACTGAAAACACAACATGGGACAATTCTGTGTCCAGTGCAACGCGTATATCCTTTAAAGATACGCACAATAGAAAACTTTGAAAAGGAGGAAGTTTCAGGTGAGGGGGAATCAAATTCGAAAAGGGGTGCAATTGTCATGTCAGCACCTAATGATGTAATAAAGAAGTATACATCATCTGTTAGGTGTGTTAAAACACCTAAAATACTATATCAATTTAATTATGATTGTTATAGGTCTGATACTCTCTCCGAATAGCAAACGGGGGGAGGATGTTGTGAAAATAGCCGTACTTTGAACGGCGGTGGTGGAGTGACGTCAGCCCCTTATGATGTAAATCACTTTTTCGGACACTCCAAACTTGTGCAGGCAGAGGATGAGGTCATTACTCTACTGTCTCGCAGTGTAAATAAAGCAGTTTAAATGAATTCTCCGGAACTGTTTTAAGAAAGCCAACAGCACCCAGCATCGGGTAGATGCAGCCCACATACATTGAAATTTGAATTTGATAAATATGTTATCTCAACAATAGCAGGAATGTTAAAGTTGACACCTGGTCTCAAGTGTGTTTCTTGAATTCAAATTAAATGGAGGTGATGCTTATCTATGAAGCCACGCAACTCGACAGTGCGCTGACAAACTCCACTCACAATCTAGGATGTGATTCTGAGCCCAAAGCGGCTAAATCCCATCAAGCGTTATTGGAATTGGTAGAAAATGTCTATCTTTTAATGTTTTTTGGCGAGTTTGAGTGCCTTCCCTAGCTCAATGTAGTAGAGAATTCTTTAAAGAGGGTTTTTATTTCTTTTATGGAGTCCATGAAAGTCAAGTTGTCTTTACTGTTATTGTTATTAATATTTTCGCGGTATGGAGGAGCTATTTTTTCAGTAGGGGTTTTGGTGCTTCGGGCTCGGAAACAACCGACTTAAACCCGTCGAGTGGCTTCCTCTGTTGGGAGGTTTTCGTAGTATTGGAATAAGTTAAGATTTGTTTAACAAAGTTAGAGTTTTGAATTACATTATTAGTATTTTTTGGGAGGCTTTTCCCTTTTTAGGTTTAATTTTAGGGAAACGAAAGACATTCATGCCAGTTAGCCTACAGTCTTGCAATTAATGCAGGTGGGGTCAGGGATTTTCTCCTTAATGGAGCATTTGCTAGTTTTGTGAGCATTACAGGCATCTCGTATTTATGTGGCAGTTTTTAGATGAGTGGTGGAAGTACACTCATGTCCATAAATTAAGGATAATGAAGTTGAGGCAAAGAAAGAGACAGAGGAAAAACAAATTTGACTTATTTGTAAAGTCTTTTTATTAAACAAAAGGTAAGGGGCAAAAAAGATGCTATATGTTATACATAATTAATAAAAACTGCGATTTTTACTCACTGGAGCAAATTTCAAAAAAGAACCTATTTACAAAAAAACAGTATAATATGGTTAGTATGATGATTAATACGGAGTATGTCTCCCGGACGATGCAATACAGGCCTTACAACGCCTACGCATGCTGAGTATCAAATTATCAATCTGATCTTGGGGAATATTACACCACTCATCAAGCAATGCCCTCCGAAGTTCCGGTATACAAGTACGAGGGGGTTGACGGGCTGCAATTCGTCGGCCAAGCATATCCCACACATGCTCTATTGGATTCAAGTCCGGTGAGTATGCTGGACAATCCATACGGGTGATATCCTCCGATTGAAGGCATTCGTCTACAATGTTTGCACGGTGAGGACGGGCGTTGTCATCCATAAACAGAAATTCAGCACCCATGGCGCCCCGAAACAAACGTACATGTTGTTCCAGAATGACATCCCGATAGATGTGGCCTGTCATCGTTACACTCTGAGCATGCAGGTCAGTTCTGGAACCAAAAATAATTCCTCCCCAAAAGAGCCATCCTGCACCACCGTAACAGTGTCGTTGAATGGTGTTCTCTTGGTGGTAACGGGTACCTGGCGCTCTCCATATGAAAGTCCGGCGAGAATCAGATTGCAAACTAAACCTGGACTCGTCGGAAAACATCACACAAGACCACTGTTGCGGTGTCCACAATGCATGCTCTCTACTCCAGGTTAATCGAAGGCGACAGTGAGTTGCGGTAAGGGGAACACATCTGACAGGCCTACGAGCATATAGAACAATAGCGTATGTACACGGTCTGCCTTGAAACTGTCGTACCGGTAGCTGAAGAGAGCTGACAATACATGTCTGATGCTATGCTCCGTTTGTTTCTTTTGGCAGTAACTGCCAAATAACGGTCCTCATTCGGCGTTGTAACTCGGGGGCGACCTGTGTTGTAACATCTACTCACATTACCATCATCTTGGAATCGTTGTCAAAGCCTGGAGATGGCACTCTGGGCGATTCCAAGTTCCTCGGATACTTCCATCTTGGTACGTCTACATTCCTGTCGTCCGATAATTCTACCATGTAAAAATCATCCAAATGCTTCCTTTGTGCCATAACTATGCGGTTATTGCACTGAAAGGCTTTTAAAGCACTTGTGAACAATTTTACTTCTTTGTCACCATTCCTTATATACCCTTCTCTTACACTCTCGTCATTGTGACGTACTATCCGTGCCATCTGGTGGTTTCCTTTAATTTGCATATTCTTCTTCAAGATGTGTGTGATATTTCTACAGGATAAATTTTCATTTTAAAATTAAATTTCTGTGTGATTCTGAATTAGCCTTAATTTATAGACATGAGTGTAATTGCAATTATAGCACTGAGTTGGCCCTTGAGAAAGGTATCAACACTCACCTTCATCGAGCAACATTTGTTGAAATTTTTCAAGATGTCCAGGGAATTTGGGATTTTTTTAGTTTCTATGATGAAGATTGGCAGGGGAAATTTTGTTTTTTGTTTAGTAAGTTGGGTTACTTTTTCAATATGATAGCCCTAAGATTCTAGATCGGTTTTAATGTACTCAATATCTTTGGATATTGTGAGATCTTTAATGATGATTTTTGCGCTCTGGATGAGGGGTGGGGGTCGATCACATAATATTGCTCTTTAATAAAGATCAAATAGGCAGTAATTTTACGGTGATCATTGAAAGTGGTGGCATTTATTTTTATGTATTACCCGATCAACTTGGTGGTGAAGGTGGGGAAAGTTCTTTGTAGCTCCTGAAAAATTAAATTAAACTTTTCCGGAAATAGGATCATGTCGGTCACTGGCATGGATGTTTGGTCCAGGTTCGTCACGGGAGCTCCAGCAAGAGCAGAAAATTTATTTTGAGGGGCAGTGCTATTGGCAGAGCCATCATCAATCTTAGCTTTTTTAGCGTACATCTTTGGAGAAACGAAGCCGTCATTACGAGTTAAATTTTTGTTTTTTAAGTTAAGATTTTGATTTGAAATTATTCATGGCGCTGATGTCGAGAACTCATCTGGGTTTGAGATACATTTAGGAGGCTGAATGTAAGCTTCAGCTATTCTCATAGCGGGACTTTTAATTTTTAAGTTGTGGTAGCAATCGGGGACATGGTAAGGTATCATAATGCTCAACTCACTTTGATGGTTTTATTGAACTGCGATGATGACTTGCTTCTCACGTTCAAGGTTGTTTACTGTAGGGGTGCTGGTGTCACTGGAATCTTTGCATTCTATGTAGATACTATTGTTGAGGTAAGAGAGTGTGTTTCTTCCTGGCAGGATATCTCTTTTTCATGTGCTCTCATGAGCGCGCAGTGGATCTCAGGAACAGGGGAGGTGACGGCGGCAGAGTCGGTCTCCATGCTTTTCTCCTCGGTACATCCGTTCATGACAGTGGCTCAGGGCAGAATATTGAGAGAAATGAAAGAGAATTCCAACTGCATGCGGTGTTCCCAGGTGGTAACCCTCCCAAGTACTGGCCACGCCCGATGATGCTTAACTTCGGTGATCGGAAGAGAACCGATGTTTTTTGCATGTTATGACCGTTGGCAGTTTGTTTCACTATCCTCTTTCTTCCTTAATTATCTTGACTTATATCTCCCGTTTGTTTATGTTACATTAAAATACTATTTAAAGTTATCTAGGAGGAATTTGTTATTGAATTGTTTTGTAATTGTTTATCGCGATTTTTTCTCAGCCTAGAGTTTATAATGAAAGAAAGTGCTTATTCTGCACCAAGGGAAAAAAGTGTTATAAGATTTTCTTCCATTTATTGGATTTGGCTCTATGGAATTCCTACATTTTGTGCTGTAAATCCCCAATTACCTAAAAAATTTAGAATAGAACTTGTTGTAAAATCATTGTGATAATTTTCTGCCATATCGGGAAGACTCAGCATTAATCAGGCTAACCTCAAAGCATTTAACAGATGTTATTCCTGCCACTAAGACCTATCGACAGCAAAAGAGATTCCAGTGGTAAGCTTGTATATGGGTTATCCCTTATTTCAAAAATTATCATATAGTATATAAGTTTATTTTTATTTAATTTAATTTTTTTTCTTTTTTTCGAGATAATAAGAGGAAGTAAATGGACGATAAAACTAAGTGCTTCATACATGCAAAAAAAAAACCTGCGTATTATGATATGTTTAAATTCCTTATATTAAACAACGGAGCTAAAAATATCCAGGATGATTTCTTAAAATTTTTGCTCAAAAAAATTGGTAAAGAAAACGATAAAAGTTTGTCATCTCAAAGAGACCTAGAAGTAATTTTTCACCGAATATCAAAATATCTGTAGCTTTAATGCAAACCTTTGTCACAAATTTTCAAATGAACCTGTTACAATTATCATTCGGAATAAATATAATATTTGTATTCCCCCAAACTTTATACATGAAATAAACGATGAAGAATCAAGTAATGATAACTAACCATCCTGTAATTCGCCTTCTATACAAATATCCTTTATCACTTGTCTTGATTCTGAAACTACAGAATCGTACACTCGTAATTGAGCGGAATTGAAGCATCGTGAGCTGTGGTCATCAACACATTTCACTCCTTCTTCAAACTTCCTGAAAAGAGGATGATTGAAAAATGTTAAATATGAAAACGAGTCCCACACTAAGCAAATGCGAAAGGTGTTCAGCGATTTTGGTATCGGAAAGGCGCGTAGAACAAAACTTCGTCTTTTTGGAAATGAGTCCTTTGGATCGGCAAATGTCTACATTCGCTGAAGCCGAAGAAATCATCTTCTATTCAAGCTTTTTCCTGTCGTGAAGAATCGCACACTGATTTATTTTCCCTCATCAGTTGCCTCTTGACCAAACGGTGACTCTTCAAAATTGGACAAGAAATAACTAGACAGAAGTATAGCGAAAAGAACAAGCCTAGAAAGAAATTTGTCGAAAATTGCATTTCAGCATGAGGACACATAGACAAGACTTCGTATGTCCCAACTTCGTATGTCACAGGGGTGTGCGTACCACCTCCCCTTGGCTCCTATTCTTACAATTGTTCCGTTTGTTTTTCAATATAAATTGTGTAATATAAATAAATAATTCTGGTGACAAAAATGGGCCGATATGTTAAAAACGTTTCATCCTTGGCGGGTTAAAATTTTTGTTCTACACGCCAGTGATTTTGTATTGGTTGCCAAAATCGGCTGGGAACACCTCTTGCATTGCCCTAGTTAAGGATATCGTTCTAAGAGAAACAATTGAAGAAAATGTTTTCAATTGAAAGCATTTATTTAATACACCTTTATCATTCCTTTGGAATTTGGAACTGTAAGGATATTATTTCACTAGCTTTGGCTTACAATAACAATGATATAAGTTTCATCTTTGGTAAATATGACAATTTTATTCTAGACGCCATTTTCGATAAAAACATAAAAATATTTAATAATTTAAAATTGCAAAGATGTTAAAATAAAATCTTTTAACCGTTATATAATATATAGAAGTGTTATGTCTTTTACATTTTTATGAAATATGAAAATAAAATAATAATAATCAATTGTCATAGAACGATTTAGTTTATTATTGATAAAATATTCCAAAGAAATAATAGTTAATGTTAGTGCTATAAAAGTACAAAACAGAAAACTTTATTTTGATTTCTCAGCTATTGTTGCTTGACAGTCTGCAAATTATACAAGATTGGAAGAATATACTGTTTATTTTCAACGAATTATTTTATTTGTTTAAAACAATAACATATCTTAACGATCACTAAAATATTTTCGTTTATTCCAAACATAATCTACAATCCTTTTGCACTAAAATAAATTACATACTAATGGGGTATTTAGTGACAAGATTGAACTTCAGATAGTTAAAAACAGAAAAAAAGAACCATCAACTTACTTTTAAATCGGAACATTTGGATTTAGGAATTTTTAGTATTAAGAAGTGTCTACAGTTATGGAAAGTCAATTTTCATTTAATTTTTTTTCTTTTTATCTTTCGAGGTAAATCTTCTTCGATATTATGTTCTTTAAATGATTCTGAACTGAATTTCTAAGATCATATCATCGAACAATATTGAAAAAAATATTTCGCCTTATTTTACCATTTAACTAAAATGTTAGAGGATAAGAAAATATGCAATTCGAAAAATGTCCTTTTTTTTACTTGTTCTATTCAAATTTTCTTAGTACCAATTATTTAAATGAAGAAGCATATTCTCAGTATTAACGGAAAACGAAATAATTTCTATATAAGCGCCGAAAGCGTATTTAACCTTGAATAAATATTGATTTCTTTTCCTTTTGATATGTTCCATACCTGAATTTAAAAATAAGTCTAGGTTATAGTATTTTTGGAATGAAAATGCTTTACAAATATCCCATGCAAGAATCCTTAAAGCAAAACGTATTCAAAGCCTCTAATCCAGGGAAATTTATCATTCGGTGACGAGATGACGGAGTAGCTGATGTGTTGAAATTGCACGAAACGTATGATATCTTCTACTTTGCTACGTACAACACTCATTTTCAGCAGCCCAGACGTGGGATGGATACATCCAAAGAAGTATATCACAGCTCAATTAATTTTTTTTTTTTTTGCAAAGAAAGCGTGACGACAAGTAAAGAATGCGAGTCGTGTATTTCGAATCAATGTTCAGTGATGCGCTCTTAACTGCAGCAAAAATTAAACTGGGATTCATGCACTTTGCCCTCAGTACCTTCCCGATACCTTCGTAACGAGCATTAAGACTCTCAGAGGAATGTGCATTTTAAAGCATATTGGGCTATGGATAAAACCATTTCGAACTGGAAATAAAAAAAGATGAGTAAGGAATGGTAAAGAAAGCTGAGTGATCTGCTGCGACAGGAAAGGTCATTCAGAGTTTTAAATCCAAAGATTACTGATGATTGAATGAATGATTTCTAGGGTTACAATCACCATTCAGTGCCATTGAGACTCTTTGCAGAGTTAAAATTAAATCCCCATTAAAATTAAGTAGCAGGACAAATTGTGAGAAGGTGTTATTTTGGTTCATGATAACGCAAAGCCAAGTACAATAAGTGCAGCACATGACACTCTGCTTTCTTTCCACTGAAAGGTGTTAGATAGCCCACCTTACAGTCCGTATCTATCATCTTGTACAAAATTATCAATTATATAATCCCCTCGAATAGTAAACTTTCTTAATACATGTTTTTTCTTTTAAAGACCCTGGAATCTTCTGTGATCATATGATGCATGATGTCGTGGAAGAATGCTAGCTTCATCACTGTTCAAGAATTTTTATCATCTGCTTCAATAATAGGGTGGTTATCTTCAGGCTCTTTCGAAGCTTCATCGTTATATTTCTCGATTATTGTAGTATGTGCTGATAAAGTATTTGTAACTTTTTAGACAGCAGTCTACGCTCCCACTGAACTACCCTTATATAATGCACAATTCTCATCCTCTGTTTTATAAAAATAATATATAATTAATAACTTTACCATGTTTCTAAAAGCTCGGCATTATTTAAACACTGCTGCTTGTAAAAAATGCAATACCATGAAGAAATCATCAAAATTAAATGAACTTTGCAGCAAATATCAATTATAGGATGTTACGTAAAACAGTAAAGTTTCAGAGCCACCGCGCATGCGTGGCGTCCACAGCGCCCTCTGAACTGCTGCTGAAAGCGTATTAATAGCGGGACGTTGAAAATATTTAATGATTATTTGTTATTGGTGAACGTTTAGTGAGATCTAAGTATGCCTCCACGATGAAATAAGGAGAAATTCCAACAACTTACGGAGTTTGAACGGAGGAGGATTATCGGCCTTCGAGAAGAAGGATTTTCCTATCGCGCAATAGGAGCTCGTGTGCAGCGGAACCGTTCCCCAGTGATACGAGTTTGGAAGGTGACGAGTCCGACAGAGTACCGAACACTCGAAAAACTAGCAGTGAACGATGGAAGGTGACGTTAGTGCGCGACGACCGACACCTGCTCCGCATGGTGCTGAATGAGCGTACAGCTTCCTCCAAGCAGTTGGCAGCCCGTTGGTCTACTGCTTCAGGTGTACTAATGTCGGCTTCGGCAATTCGTCCACGTCTGCTGTACCGTGGATTGCGTGCAAGGGTGCCTTTATACAAGATCCCCCTCACGGCAAACCATCAACGGCTGCGTCTGGAATGGGCTCATGAGCATAGAGCCTGGTAAGCTGATTGTCGCCAGTTCTCTTTTGAGATGAATCACGCCTCAATTTGTGCTAAAATGATGGCCGCATTCTTGTTAGACGCTATGCCGGTGAGCGCTGCCTTCCAGAGTACGTTATCGAACAACATAGTGGCCTAACAGCCGGAGTTATGGTTTGGTGCAATTTTGTATCTTGGATGATCCAATTTGCTACGAATTGAGGGTTATCTCAATAGCAAAAGGTACGTCCGTGAAGTGCTACAGCCCGAAGTCGATCCCTTCCTTCAAGTCATACCTGGAGCTATCTTTCAGCAGGATAATATACGACCACATGTTGTAAAGACTGTTCGAGACTTCTGTTTAGCCCAACTCATGCAACTTCTTCCTTAGCCTGCT